CAATCCACTCACCTCAGCCTCCCAAAGGCGCGGGATTACAGGCTGAGCCACCGAGCCCGGCATGTACTTATTTTTTAAAGGATTAGTTAATCATGTTTCAACAGAACTCTATCAATGACAAGTCAAACCATGCATAATCTTACAGCACTCTTGATTTTAGCTGCCAAATTAGCAAATATAATACTTGGAGCTTGGCTTACTTCCCATTCAACTTGACACTACCCAGTAAAGCCAGTATGGTCAGGAATTCGAATTACTAAACAAAATCCAGTACTCTGGTTTGCCAAAAAAGACTCACCAACTATTTTTCCTCCCACGGTTCAGACTAGAATGCAGATTGTTAGCCCAAGATGGTGGGACAGTCTTCAGAGAGTCCAATATCTCCTGAGATAAAATGAAGAATTGTATGTAGAGGTACATTTTTTTTACTTTTTTTTTTTTTTTTTGAGTTGGAGTCCCACTCTGTGGCCCAGGCTGAAGTGCAATGGCACACTCACGGTCACCACAGTCTCGACCTGCTGAGCTCAGGCAGTCCTTCCACCTTAGCCTTCCAAGTAACTGGAACTACAGTTCTTTTATTGTAAAGAAATACTCCGGGCCAAGTGTGGTGGCTCATACCTATAATCCCAGGTACTTGGAGGCTGAGGTGGCCGTGGGCATGCCACTGCACTCCAGCCTGAGTGACAGAGTGAGACTCTGACTCAAAAAAAAAAAAAGAGAGAGACTGGGCACAGTGGCTCAAGCCTGTAAATTCCAGCACTTTGGGAGGCTGAGGAGAGAGGATTGCCTGAGCTCAGGGGGATGGAGACCAGCCTGGGCAACTTGGTGAGACTTCATCTCTACAATAAATAAATAAAAATAAGCCAGGCATAGTAGCACACGCCTGTAGTGCCAGTTACTTGGAAGGCTAAGGCGGAAAGACTGCCTGAGCCCAGCAGGTCGAGGCTGCAGTGGCTGGGAGCAGCCACTGCACTCCAGCTTGGGTGACAGAGTGAGACTCCAACTCAAAAAAAAAAATAAATAAATAAAAGAATGTTAGATTAAGAAAGGTAGACACACAACCGGGCTCGGTGGCTCAGCCTGTAACCCGGCGCCTTTGGGAGGCTGAGGTGAGTGGACTGCCTGAGCCCGTGGGTTCGAAACCCACCTGGGCAGGCGAGACTTCATCTCTACAATAAATAAAAAAATTAGCCGGGCATGGTAGCACACGCCTGTAGTTCCAGCTACATGGAAGGCTGAGGCAGAAGGATCGCCGGAGCCCAGAAGGTCGAGGCTGTGGTAGCCGGGAGCGGCCTCTGCACTCCAGTCTGGGCGACTGAGTGAGACTCTAACTCAAAAAAAAAAGAAAGAAAGAAAGATAAACACAATGGAATATTATGCAGCCACAAAGAAGGGCAAACATATGAACTTCCCAGCAATTTAGATGGGTTTAGAGTCTATCATACTCAATGATCTATCACAGAAATGAAGAACAGAGTACCATATGTTCTCACTTATAAGTGGACCTTGAACAATTATCATAATATTGTAAGAAAGGGATTGGCAGTAGTGGGAAACTGCTAGGGAAGGGGGGTGGGATTGGCAGCTGAGGGAAACTGCCAGGGAAGGGAGGGGCACACCTCATCAACAAGGGTACCTGCAAAATGAACATTTGTATACCTAACCCTGAATTGTATCCCACATTTTAAAAATAAAATTAAGAAAGAAAAATAAAAGAGAAAGAAAGGTAGAAGTCGCTACCCCTAGAGGAAGTACAGCCCTGATTATGATTAAGTCCAAAAGTTCATCTGTTTCTAGGGGGCTGGATCAAATTCTAAAATAAGTAAATATTCTATATGATAATTTTGCTATCAAGTTCTGCAGCTCTGTGACTTCAACGGAACAAAGCACTTAAAAAGGGAGAGGAGGTATTAAAAAAACACGGAGTAGCAGCTTTCAAATCAATTAGCAGGCTGATAAAAGACTGCAAGTGAAAAGAATCATTGGAGATTTTTTTTTTTTTTTTGGTTTTTTGGGGAGTCGGAGTCTCACTCTGTCGCCCAGGCTGGAGTGCAGTGGCATGTTCATGGGGCATGTTCATGGGGCATGCTCATGGCCACCGCAGACTCGACCTGCTGGGTTCAGGTGATCCTTCCACCTTAGCCTTCCAAGTAGCTGGAACCACGGGTGCATGCCACTACACCTAGCTAATTTTTTTATTTATTGTACAAGTGAGGTCTCGCCAAGTTGCCCAGGCTGATCTCGAACCCGTGGGCACGTGAGCCACTGCACCCGACGCAACTCAATATTTTTTTACAAGAGTTGTTTGCTCAGCTAATTCCAACAGAAATGGGATGAAAAATTCATTTTTATCTGCCAAGTTTCAGCAGTTTTTATTAAATAATAACTTTGTGATGAAATGATAACATTCAAAACATTACTAATACATACGCTTTTTGTTTTTAATTTAAAGACAGGAATCTTAGCTATGTTGCCCAGGCTGGCCTCAAACTCCTGGGCTCAAGGGATCTTTTTTGCCTCAGCCTCCAGAGGAGCTGGGACTACAGACTGCAACATCAGGGCAGCTATTCTTAAGGCTTTTTAGATGAAGTCTGGAGATGTAATTCAACTGGGAAAAGTCAGAAGTTGGAAACACCAAGATGTATCAGAATGCTGTAAACACGTTTCTACTTTAAAATTAGCTTCTGTGTTCAAGTTACTGTGGTTGGTACAAGAATACCAGAGCAGAATTAAGAGGGTCATAAAAACAGCCAACATCAACAATTTCCTCTTCCAAAAAGGTTTGGAAAACCAGAATCAAGTGGAAAGTCCACAGATCTTGGAGACGAAGATTTTTTATTTTTTTAAGTAGGAATCTCACTCTGTCGCCCCAGGCTAGAGCGCAGTGGTGTGATCACGGCCACG